AGTGGAAAGTGCCGCGTCTCCTAGGAGACGTTCTGGCCAATGGCAGCAGCAGAAGCTGTTTATGGGGGAGGAGCGTCGCCATGGCAGCAGGAGAAGCCTTTTGGAGCGGCTACTTAATGCCGGTCCCCGGGCCGCGGGCGTTCAGTGAGGCGCCGTCGGGCGGGGGTACGACGACGGGCGCTGGCGGGGCCCTCAAGCTGGGGGTGGAGAGCCTCAGGGGGTGGGAGGAACTTCTTCCAGAACCTTCCTCTGGCCCGGGCTGCGCTCTGAGCCAGGTAAGGGACGGGGAGGGAGGACTGCGGCCAAGGGCAAGGAGGTCGTCTGTACCAACCCCGCTCTCCTATCGGTCCTGGACAGAAGTGGGGAACCCAGGGACTGACATTTGAGCAATTGGGGTAACTCACTGCTCGCTCCCCCATAACTCTGTATCCTGTTCTCGTCCTTTCCCGGGACCCCCTCATTCTAAAGTCACTTTTCAAGGATCAGACTATCTCCCACCCCCTGCCCCGTCATATTGCTTTCCCCTCGCTCAATTTCCATTTGTTGGGGAGGGTACAGATTTCCCGCTCTTCTGGAAAAAGGGGTGCCCCTACCCTCTTCTCACATTTGGCCAATAAAGTCTCCTTTAAAACCTCGAGGAGAAAATGGAGAGAAAGGTAGATGCCGTGGGGGCTGGACCCGAGGGCACTGCTTCTGCTTCCCTGACCCCGACACTAACAGGTCCTCTCCAGCTTGGGAGCAGTTTGAGCAGAGCCCCCCTTACACACGCCCTCTCCCCCGGGGTGAGGGAGAGTGCTCAGCTCCCTGTGGTCCCCGCAGGCGACCACTCACACGTTCGGAGGCGGCTGCCCCCAGGCTGCGGGATGGACGCGCGTGTCCCAGCGACTGTGTAACTGGAACCGCGGGGTCAGCGGCCGGCGAGCGCGGCGCGCCCCTCGGCTCAGCCGGTGGATGGTGACCGCCCCCTCGGAGAGCCCGCACAGACATGGCGGAGAGTTGGCTGCGCCTCCCAGGAGCGGGGCCCGCAGAGGAAGCCGCGCCCGAAGGCGGTCTGGAGGAGCCCGACGCCCTGGATGACAGCCTTACCAGCCTGCAGTGGCTGCAGGAGTTCTCCATTCTCAGCGCCAAGGCCCCCACCCTGCCCCCGGGGGGCGCCGACCCCCACGGCTACCACCAGGTGCCAGGCTCGGTCGCGCCCGGGTCCCCCCTGGCGGCGGACCCCGCCTGCCTAGGGCCGCCGCACACGCCAGGCAAGCCCACGTCGTCGTGCACCTCGCGGAGCGCGCCCCCAGGGCTGCAGGCCCCGCCCCCCGACGACGTGGACTACGCTACCAACCCGCACGTGAAGCCGCCCTACTCGTACGCCACGCTCATCTGCATGGCCATGCAGGCCAGCAAGGCCACCAAGATCACCCTGTCGGCCATCTACAAGTGGATCACGGACAACTTCTGCTACTTCCGCCACGCCGATCCCACCTGGCAGGTAGGGGAGGCGCGGGCGGCGGCCGCTCCCTCCCCACCCCTTCCCATGCCCTGCTCCAGACTCCCCTCCCAGGACTCCCACCCTAGGATGCCCATTCCAGATCCGCTGGCTACGTGGGCGCGGGGCAGCGCGGGCAGGACGAAGGCCGTCTTCAAAGGTCTTCCAGTGAGCCCTGTTCTTGGAACTGCCCCTCCCTTGACTTGCAGAGGGAGAAGAGGGAGAATTAAGGGCGCAGAGCCCTTTAGGGTGCAGACGCTGAGGCTCAAGAGGAAAGAACTTTGGCGGGCCCAGCCTAAGACAAGTGCTAGACGATGCGTGGAACATAGCCTCCTGGGGGGGGGGGGACATATTCTTGTCCCAAGTCCTAGAATTCCTAGACACAGCCCTGCCCAAGGACAGTTTGTCAGGGCCGGACTCCAGAACCGAAGCTGGGGCATGGTCTTCCCGCCAGGCACTGCATCACGTCTGCTGTCCACCGGGAGAGGGGGAGGGCTAGGGCAGTGGGGTGTGAAGACCACCTGTCTGGTGGAGGGGTATGGACCTTCCTAAAGCCGCAGTCCCAGCCCCCCGCCCCACCCCCTCCCCAGCTTCCTGCCTCTACTCCTCCCCCCCCTGCTCAGCCAGCCTCCCTGGGGGTACAATTACCTGAGCCAGGTGCTCTCCACCGGGGCTCTGCCTGCCCTGCGCTCTGGCTTCATGTTCCAAGTCTCCGGAACCTGGCACAGAGCAGCCAAGGGGCCCTGGCCACCCTGTAAACATCCCAGCCCCACCAGCGGGGCACTACCCACTCACACGTCGTGCTGTCCCAGCCCCAGACCCCCCGACCCCCGCCAGCATGGTTTGGACAAGCTAAGCACCTACAAACAAACAAGGCAGGATGGTGGGTTTGAGACCAGACAAACATTGTCCTGAGTCTTCCACCGGCGGGATCAGGAGCTAGCTGGGGACACAGGCCCCAAGGATGCCCAGGCTGGTCAGGGTCTCTTCGCTGGGGCACTCATGGGGGCAAGACACAGCATACCAGTCCCAAGACATTCTTTGTTTGCTTGGGCTCTGACCACCAGGCCCTAGGAAAGGAAGCAGAGACCCCCATCCTGCCCTACCCCAGGCACAGGTCTGGGCCCCAGGAATTAGCCTGGGCCCCAGGAATGAGCGCTATGCCCTTGGCGGAGTAATAGTCAACGAAGGAGGCCGTAGGGGGTGAGGGCCCAGGCCAGCAGCTGGCTCAACTAACAAGGAAAGTCACTAATTCCCTCATACTACATCCCTGCACACGCGCGCGCGCGCACACACACACACACACACACCCCCTCGGTCGCCTAGCCCCCTCCCTCACCCCACCCACTCACTTCACAAACAGTGGGCCAGCCAGGCCCGGGAATCAGGGGATGGGGTCCAGGCCCTGGGGGAGCTGAGGGCTTTGGCCAGAGGCCTTGAGCAGTGGGCGCAAGGGGGGAGGGTAAAGGGGTGCCGCTGAGAACCACCCTGTAGCTCAGGCTCGGATGACTGAGCAGGCAGATATCCCAGCAACAGGGACAAAAGCCCCCGACTGCACTCCCAGCTCCCCGTGTCCTGGCTGGTGTCCCAGCCGCCCCCCAGACCAGCTCGTCCATCCTCCCCTCCTCCACTGGGGAGGAGGAGATGGGGGCGTGCAGGAGAACCAGGTGCCACCCCACCATCAAGCCTTCTCGTTGAGCTGGCGGTCACTCTCTCTCTCTCTCTCTCCCTCTGTCTCTCTCGCTTGTTCTCTCCCTGTACTCAGAATTCCATCCGCCACAACCTGTCCTTGAACAAGTGCTTCATCAAAGTGCCCCGCGAGAAGGATGAGCCGGGCAAGGGGGGCTTCTGGCGCATTGACCCCCAGTACGCCGAGCGGCTGCTGAGCGGAGCCTTTAAGAAGCGGCGGCTGCCCCCAGTCCACATCCACCCTGCCTTTGCCCGCCAGGCCTCACAGGAGCCCAGTGCTGCCCCCTGGGCCCGGCCGCTGACCGTCAACACCGAGGCCCAGCAGCTGCTTCGGGAGTTCGAGGAGGCCACAGGGGAGGCGGGCTGGGCTTCAGGCGAGGGCAGGCCTGGGCACAAGCGCAAGCAGCCGCTGCCCAAGCGGGTGACCAAGGTCCCGCGGCCGCCTAGCACCCTGCTGCTGACCCAGGAGGAGCAGGGCGAGCTGGAGCCCCTCAAAGGCAACTTTGACTGGGAGGCTATCTTCACCCTGGACGGAGAGCTGAGCTCCCTAGAGGGCCTGGAGCTGAGCCCTCCGCTGAGCCCCGCCTCGCACGGTGACATGGACCTCACCGTCCATGGCCACCACATCGACCGCCCCACTACCTGGGGGCCCCCGGTGGAGCAGGCTGCCGACAGCCTGGACTTTGACGAGACCTTCCTGGCCACGTCCTTCCTGCAGCACCCCTGGGACGAGAGTGGCAGTGGCTGCCTGCCCCCCGAGCCCCTCTTTGAGGCCGGGGATGCCACCCTGGCTGCCGACCTGCAGGACTGGACCAGCGTGGGCGCCTTCTTGTAAGAGGCCAGGCCCCGCCCCACCTCCAGACAGTGCCCAAGTGAGGACCCAGCACTGCCCCCCAGCACAGGTTCACGGACACCCCACCGCCCAGGCAGAGGCTGTGCTGGGTCTCTCGAGGCTGGCCCCAAGAGGCCGCACCGTCCCAGCCCAGGCGGCCTTCAAATTCAAGCCCAGGAGGCTGAGAACTGGGGGCCCAGGACCAGTGCCTCCCAGCCCCCCACATACAGTGTTTCATAGAGCCACATCTCCTCCACCCCAGAGAGCGACCACAGGACCCTGTGCTGTGCCAGCGAGGCCTGAAGGGGCCCGGACCAGGCGGGGAAGAACAGAACAGGGCCCTCCCCAGAGCACTCCAGCCTCAACGCTGCTCCTCTTTCTCTCCCCAGTCTCCTCTCTCTTCCCCCGCCCCCCGCCCCAGGTCTCTATCCAGAGAAAGTTCCCAGGTACAACAGATACTAATTAGGTGACAGCAAATTAATCCCCTGGAGGCCTCTCCAGGCAGCCTCCCTGGGGCGGGGGGGGGGGCAGTGGATGGGGGAGGTGGACAGAGGACAGACACGGGGGTGGGGCAGGCAGAGGAGAGAAATGCTCTGGGGGTGCAGGGGAAGCAAGGAGTTCATCTCTAAGGCCTCTGGGGTCTTCGCCTGGCCCCATCCTTAGGGGTCAAGCCAAGGATGTAAATCCTAACCTTTGTGCCCCACTTGAGGCCGAGAGCAGCAGCAGCAGGAAGCTGGGGTTCTGGGGGGGCTGGGGGCAGGGGCAGCCAAGCTGAGGGGGGACGGACAGACTAATGTAGTGCACGTAGTGATAGCTAAGACTTAACCGGGAGGGACGCCGAGCTAACTGGAACCGCTGGGTCCAAGAAGGGTGGAGTGGTCCTCTCCCCCGCCTGCACTCAGAGGGTGGGGTGGGGATGTCCTCCCCAGACTTGGCCTCCAGCTGTGTTCCACATCCACCCTCCCGCCCCGTGGGGCAATTTAACCTTTTTCATGGAAAGTTATTTACAATAAAAAAATTTTAAAAATAAAAGTTTTTAAAACCTGAAAATGAGCCTGTTCTGGGCTTTTTTTGGAAAAAAGTGAAGGGAGAGGTTTGGGAGGGGAGGGGCCTTCTCTTTCTCTGTCAGAGGACGGCAGGGCTGGGAGGAAGGTGCGGGTGGCCACAAGCGGCCTGCAGAGGGGCCCCTGACGAGGAACTCCCCACAACTGTCCCCAGGGAGAACATGAGGGACAGGTGGCCCTTGGGGGTGCCCTGAGTCCTGGGCTTCAGTGCCTCCATCTGCGCAATGGGGAGAACTGCGCCCACAGCTCAAGGGAGCAGGCAACAAAGCAAGGAGGTGCAGCTCCCCCCACCCTGGCCCCAGGGAATCACAAAGGCCCAAGTGTGCCCAGGGCTCGTCCCCACCTCCAGGGCCTGCCCAGGCTCGCCCGCTCAAGCCAGGCGCCGGCTCGGGCCTCCCTCTGGTGCCTGCCTCCCTCTGTCCTTTCCTGGAGGGTGGGGCATGTGCACTCAACTGGTGCCTTCCCCCCCAGGCCCAACCAGGAAGTAGGGGTGGGTGCTTAGACCCTCTCCCCCTCTTACTCCAGTAGGCCTACTCTGTGAGGGACCAGCCTGTCTGCCAGGGTGCTAATGGGGAAACTAAGGCACAGCGTGTTTGGGGGACACTCCACGGGCCCTTTGCAATCCCCTCGCCCCAGCTTGACCTGGAATCCACCTCCCCTCCCAGCACTTCGCCACACACACACCTCCCCCCAGCGCGTGTGTGCGTGCACGCGTGTGCGTATACAGACGTGCGCGCGCACACACACACACACACGCACACACACACACACACACACACACACACACACACACACACACACGCTCACTGTCCCACAGGGTCCTGCCCAGCCTCCACCGACCCCTTCTCCACCGCTGCTTTCTTTCTCGGCACTCAGGCTGGCTCTACGCCAAGCTGGCATTCACGAGGCTAACTTGCTGCTTTCACTTGCTAATTATTCCAAATATTTCAGCAAGGCACGATGCATGGCTGGGGTGTGGGCCTTACTGAGCCCAGAGCCTCCGCCCCAGCACTGAGCAGAGTCCCCTCACTCCCCAAGCACCTCCCCCTACCTCCCTTCCTCTCCTCACCCCTACTAGGCTTCCCTCTCTACTGCCCCAGCAATGGCGGCCCCAAGAAGGAGGAGGGGGGTCCCAGCCGTCTCCACGGTCCCCAGGATCAGCCTCCAGCCCTGGATTGATGCGTGGGGCTTGTCGCTGTCTGCCCCTTCATCACCCCTGTGCCCCAGGCCCATGCTGGGAAGAGTGGCAAGGCCAGGGGTAGACAGGACCACCCAAGGAGATGAGCCAGCGCTGAAGAAGCAGAGCAGGGTGGGGTTCTCATCCTGATGCATTTGAGAATTGTCCTGCTGTGGCTTGAATTATGTCCCCCCAAAATGTGTGTCACCTTGACTAGGCCATGATTCCCAGTATTGTGTGGTTGTCCACCATTTTGTCATCTGATGTGATTTTCCTACGTGTTGTAAATCCTACCTTATGACTGTTAATGAGGCAGGATTAGAGGCAGTTATGTTAATGAGGCAGGACTCAATCTACAAGATAAGATTGTATCTTGACTCAATCTCTCTTGGGATATAAAAGAGAGAAACAGAGAGACAGAGGGACCTCATACCATCAAAAAAGTAGTGCCAGGAGCAGAGAGTGCCTTTTGCACCTGGGGTGCCTGCGCTGAGAAGCTCCTAGACCAGGGGAAGATTGATGACAAGGACCTTCCTCCAGAGACGACAGAGAGAGAAAGCATTCCCTGGAAGATGGCAGCCTGAATTCAGACATCTAGCCTCCCTGACTGTGAGAGAATAAACTTCTGTTTGTTAAAGCCATCCACTTGTGGTATTTCTGTTATAGCAGCACTAGATGACTAAGACACAGCCCGAAGTTTCCGAAAACCCCAATGCCCATACCCCTAGAACATTCTGTCAGAGTCTAGGGGTTGGACCCAGGCATCAGTAGTTTTTGAAGGCCCCAGGTGATTCTGAAGTGAGGCCTAGGCTGTGAACCCTGCTCCAGGGGGGCTTCAGGCATGGGCTTCCCACCAGCCTTTCTGCAGGCAGCACAGGGATGAGAAGTGTGAGTTTTAGAGCCAGTCACTCCTATTCAAAAGGAGTCCTGGTGGTGCAATGGTTAAGCACTCCGCTGCTAACCAAAAGGTTGGAGGTTTGAGCCCACCAGCAGCTCCGCAGGAGAAAAGACCTGGCAACCTGCTCCTGTAAAGACTGTTGTTGCTGTTCTTAGGTGTCGTTGAGTCCGTTCTGACCCACAGCAACCCTACATGCAACAGAAGGAAACACTGCCTGATCCTGCATCATCTTCAAAATCGTTATGCTTGAGCCCATTATTGCAGCCACTGTGTCAATCCATCTCACTGAGGGTCTTCCGCCCTTTCACCGACAGTCTACCAAGCATGATGTCCTTCTCCAGGGACTCGTCCCTCCTGATAACATGTCCAATGTACATGAGACAAAGCCTTGCCTAGAAAACCCTACGGGGCAATTCTACTCTGTCATATACGGTTGCTATGAGCTGAAATCGACAACTCCTGTTCATCCCTGCCCTGCCCCTCAGTATGTGGCTTTTTGTTCCCCCAAGATGTTTGTTTCCCTCACATTCATTTATAGATTCAATGCGATCTCAGCCAAAATAAATTTTGCACCCTTTGTGAGTGCATTGCACGCGTGATGCCCACTAGAAATACTTCAAAACAACGACATCCCTACGTAAGCATAGTCCAAAACAACCACTGAGTTGCCATTGAGTCAACTCAGACTCACGGCTGCCCCATGTGTGTCAGAGGAGAACTGTGCTCCATGGGGTTTTCAACGGCTGATTTTTTGGTAATAGATCACCAGGCCTTTCTTCTGAGGTGCCTGTGGGTGGACTTGAACCTTCAGCATTTCAGTTAGCAGCTAAGTGCTTAAGCGTCTGCACCACCCAGGGACTCCGCATAACCATAGCACAACCATCAAAACCAGGAAGTTGACATTGGCCTAGCAATGCCACCTAAGTCACAGACCCCATTCTACTTTTGCTGATTGTCCCGACGATGTTCCTATCTGTCCCAGCAACCCAACCCAGGATCCCATGTTGCACTGAGTTGTCCAGTCTCTTTTGAGCTGTGTGGCTTGGAGCACATGACTCAAGCTCTCTGAGCAGATTCCTCATCCCCTTTCATCCTACCCTGCAAACCTCACCTTTCAGGTGACAAGCCTCTGAACCACTTCATTCTTGGGCACTGGGGGACACCACTTCCCAGAGCAATGGGTTACCCTCTGTCCCCCAACCTCCTGCCTTTTCCCCCATCCTCCCACCACCTCTGCCTTCCCTCCTCCATGTATCCCCTGAGCCAGGAATGTTGGGAACGGAGAGGCACGAGGGAGGAAAGACAGGAACTCAGGCCTTCGGGGCCCCTCGCCCCTACCCCCAGCCCCAGAGCATGTCCTGTTCCAGGACAGGCTAACCCGGACTCCAGGGGCATCTCAGGATGTCTGGAAGGCACGGGATCCCCCTGGGCTTGTACTGTGCCCCTGGAGCAGACTGGCCAGGCCCCCTGCCGAGCCGAGCTGGAGGGCAAGAATTGCTCTCAGCCACCCCTTACCCCTCTAAACACATACACACACACTCACACACTCACACACTTACGCCCGGAAGAGGGTGAGCTGGAGGGCGGGAAAGAAGGTTTGGGAGGGGAGGGAGTGGTCAGGAATCAGGTCAAGTCCATCCTGGGCTGAGGCCCAAAGGTAAACAGATGTATTTGGCCTCCTGGCAGGGGGCAATAGGCTGGTCCCTGGGGCAGGCCTGGGCCTGTCAGGTAGGGGGTGGGGAGGGGCCTTGCCCGATCTGACAATGGGGTGGAGATGGCCCCAGTCCTGCCACACATTCCTGTGTGATGAGGAGGAAAACACAGGTGGCCCAAGGTTTAGACAAAGGAGTGGATGCCCCGCTGGGGCAGGGGAGGGGGCTCCACGAGGCCACCCACACTGGGCTGTGCTGACCAGCGTGAGCCCAGGGCACACATCAGAGCCCTGGGTCACCTCCCCCCTCCCCAGACACCTCTGTCCTTCCCATTCTGGGGCTCCC